ATGATATCCTATAATTGATGAGTCAGAATTCAATGTTTAAACATTTGATGAACCAAAGTCATTTTATTTAGCTCCTACCTAAATCTCCATTCACATACATACATGGTGCCCTTCTCTTACTGCTCACTCAGCCTAAACCAGTGATATGTAAGTGAGTCAGAGATAGTAAGAACTGCAGATGCTGGAGTCAGAGATAACACAGTGTAGAGCTGGAGGAACACAGCAGGCCTGGGAGCATTAGAGGAGCAGGAAAGTTGATGTTTCCGTCAACTTTCCTACTCCTCTGATGCTGCCTGGCCTGCTATGTTCCTCCAGCTCCACACTGTGTTATATATATATAAGTGAGTGCCTTGTTGAATCCTGAATGTAAATTCAAAGCATATATACCTTCTACATTCCACCTCGTCGTGTTTGTATATGGATTTGTGTGTATTTAGGTTTAAAAGGGATGTAATTTAAATTCTATAGTAGTAGTTAATAATCCATTTTGCCAACTGTTCAAAAAGAAGTTCATTCATAAAAAGTAATTTGTGTCTATCAAAGGACCTGGTGCCAGTCTTTTTTTGTCAAGGATAACTGTAAAAGCAAAGCAAATTAGCCGTCAATTAACCATTTTGGTGATTCAATTGAACATTTATGCTTTCAGGACGTTTCATGGAGTGATAGGGCTTGATTAGCAGTGCATCCTTCCTTTCAGAGTCCAAACAACATCTGGGGGCTTGGTGCAGGATTCTTGAATATGGACAATACGAGATTGGATGTGGTTAAGTAACTGTTAGAGGGTAATGCAGACAGAAACCAGATTTCTCACACTGATGAGAGTGTAATAAGTTACACATAAAATAAGATGACATTGGAAGTGGCTAAAACAAGCTTACTGATGGAAGAAGTATCCCGGGCTCATTTACAAGAAGAAACTAAGGCTAACATAACAGAATTGGCAAAAGAATGAAGGGTGAAATTTCTTGCAAAAGCAAGGAGAACAGAGGTAATTAATACATTGGCACAGCATTTGGGATCAGTGGAAATACAACAGAGGCCAGGCACTCCAAACAGTGAGTCATCAGAAGTAAGAGATAACAAGGTGTAGAGCTGGATGAACACAGCAGGCCAAGCAGCATCAGAGGAGCAGGAAAGCTGACGTTTTGGGCCTAGACCCTTCTTCAGAATTTCTTTCAGATTTTCTGAAGAAGGGTCTAGGCCCGAAACGTCATCCAGCTCTACACCTTGTTATCTCAGATTCTCCAGCATCTGCAATTCCTACTATCTCAGTCATCAGAAGTAGTTATGCTTGAGTTATAGTTCAAGCAGATTAAACACGAAAGAGAAAGAAGACAGCTTTTGATAGGGATGGAGAGAATATTGGAATTAATAAATGGTGATGAAGAGACTTAAATTTAGGGCAAAAGAGAGAAAGAGCATCTCAGTGGCTGGAACTAGACATTAAGGAGAGAGAAAAGGATAAGCAGAGACAATTGAAAAAAATTAATACTAGCTTAAAAGTTAAAACAAAGATGTGCCACATACAGTAGAAGGTTTTGAAAAGGGAAACCTTAGCCATAATCTAAAGTCTAGTCAGGAAATATTAAAATATGCACAGGCCCTACCAATGGTGGAGTCATTGTTACAGCTTAACTGGAAAGACTGCAATCATAATCGAACTCTATTATTCCACAAGCCATCATACATTTGTGAATACCTAATTAAGTTACCAAAATCGTCAATTTGCTTGACTGACTGCTATTCAGGACAAAAGCAATTCACACCAAGTTTCATCATTTTGGGAAAAAGAATCACAATCTGATGTATAAACACTTATTCTTTAACAAATGGCAGAGAAGGAAAAAGTTACTAAATTACTCCGATGCACTTTAAGCTATTCTCCTTTAAAACCCAAATATGCACACATATTTACAAATAATAAAAACAAAACAGATGGTTTGACACAAATATTGTGGTTGGAAAAATACTGACAGGGAAAATAAAATTCCAAAGGACTAAATTCTACCTCTCAAAGGTGGTCTGAATTGCCTCTCATAGTTCTTTTGATTTTGGCAATGATAAGATGCAGCTCTCTACAAAGTGATGTTTGGTTTTAATTACTGAGATTTAATTACTGATCAGGTAGAGTCCAAGTCCAAGGGCTAGGCCATTTAGCACTGAGATGAGGAGAAATTTCTTCACCCAGAGAGTGGTAAGCCTGTCGAACTCTCTGCCTTAGAAAGTAGTTGAGGTCAAAACATTGAATGTTTTCAAGAAGGAGTTAGAATTGGTTCTTAGGGTTAAAGGAATCAAAAGGTATGGGGAGAAAGTGGGAACAGAGTACTGAATTGGATATTTAGCCATGATCATATTGAATGGCAGAGCAGGCTGGCAGGGCCAAATGGCCCTACTCCTGCTCCTATTTTCTGTGTTTATATCATTCTATTGTTCCAGCTGAATCACAGAACAGGTTGAGATAATCTAGAATTGACGCCTTAACTAAGGGATAGCTTTGTCAACAGTGCCACATTCTCTCATGGTGGCAGTGCCATGTTGTCTTAGATTATACTTAAATTGAGGAAAGATCCGTAGACCAACAGCAGCAAATGGAAGCGTTAAACTGATTTCAGATGTTGCTTAATGTTGAAATAAGTAATAAACATTTCAAAGTATAAAGAAATGCACAGATACAAGAAAGTAGTGATACACTCTGTGAATAGATATTTCAGTGCAAGGATCATGTTAATAGCATGGCAATGTATATCTATTTACACCTGGGTGGCCTTTTTTCACTTGAAGGCCAATGAACAAATTTCAGAAATATAAAAGTTGATGTAGCATTAAAGATGAATTTCAAACTAAAATTTGTGGAATGAAGAAAACATAAATAACTTACTGAGAAGAATAAAATGTCATAGCAATAAATTGATAATGTTAAAAAAAGGAAGCAAGTAGTTAGTCATTAAAAAGTGCCAAGTAACAGCTAACCAATAAATAAATTTTGGCACACACAAAAATAGAAAGCTCAGCAGGTCTGGCAGCATCTGTGGCGAGAAATCAAAGTCACTGTTTCAGGTTGAGTGACTCTTCCTCAAGTAAATTTTGGCGTGTGAAGAAGCAGAACAAGAGAGAGAGGTACAGATTAGGCCACAGGTCCTGCTCACCAGGAAGGGGGAAGACTGTTTTCTGGTTCCTGAATATAAGCCAACCTTATGTTCAAATCAAATCAATTGTGCCTCACAACTTGTTGCGAGTCTGTTACTTTTTTCACTTATTTCAAGATTCAACAAATGAATATTTCACCTTTACGTTGATTAATTATACATAGAAATTGATATATTATATATGTAGTTAACAGTATAGGGGGTGTGTGTGCATTGTTTTGTACAGTATAATACAGGTATTGCAATGTATTTTGGTTGCTAGGTATGAAACACATTTCCATAAGTTACAGTTCCTATTCTTACCTTGTTCTATTGTTTCTTATGGAAGAAACTGCATTTATATGAAGTTCATGGGTGACTTTAATGCATTTCGTGTCCCTGTCTCCCCTATTTATGTTACTCCTCAATCTAAATCATTTCAATATAAGTAGCACTTCTCTGCCATGTAACCCTGATGCATATGGACAACCCCCTAAAGCAGAAATGAAAATTGGACAGTTTCTGTAATGAGCAGCTGAAAAAAAAAACACCTTTATGTGTAGGGGATAAGCTGATAATCTACGAATTCCAACCAACCAGGATTGGCCTTCAGTTTATAGCAATTGACAATCAATCTGCAGGGCACTACTGTAAGTAACCTTGGAGAAAATTCAAAGGAACTTTTTTTTTAATCTGTTTTTTAAACATTTCTTTTTACCAGATATCAAGATATTGAAGTGGAGGAAAAGGGCAATGTTTTTTTTGTTTTTGAATTATTGTAGGAAGACACTGTGCCATAAGGGTAGATGTATTGGCTGACAATCAGCTGGAACATAGGGGTAAATCATGTGATAAAATGTCCAGGAATAGATTTAATTACAGTTGACAACCCAACTTGCATTTGTCAATATGTTTGACTGATGATGATAAACTGGAACAGATTAACAATGTGCCTAAGATGCAAAATGAGTTTAAAGATTCCAGTAGACTCTCTTTGGATGATCCAATTAACTTGATATGTAATAACATGAAATAATGTGGCAACATCAAAATGGCAAACCGTTACTACTCTGCCAATTTTTATTTTCATTGATTTCAGATAGAGAGATGGATGCAAAAGGCATTAAAATTGAAAATGCTGGAGAAATCCAGCAGGTCTGGCAGCATCAGTGGAGAGAGAAACAGAGTTGAAATGTTAACTGTGTTTATATCTCCACTAATGCTGCCAGTTCAGCTCAGTTTCTCTAGCACTTTCTGTTATAATTTCAAGTTTCCAGTATCTGCAGTTTTTGCTTTTATTTAAGTGCAATATGTTTTGCTGACTTGTCATCTCCTGTTGCACACCATTGGACAATATCAATTGCCAGTCCTTAGAGTCAATGCTCAAGACATGGAGGTTTAATTGTCTGCAGCACACCAGAAACAACTAGCTATGTTTATGAGCAATACATTGGTTATGGCCCTGAAATCATGCTAAGTCATGAAACTGAATTAGATAAACCTAGCAACTGGAGGATAGCCACTAATGTAAATCACTATTAAAGGTTTAAAAGATTGGAACAGTGCAACAGGTTCATAACTTTCTTACAAGGTAGCAAGCCTGCCTTTAATGAACCTGCAATGTTGTACTGCCCACATGGGAACCTACAGTACCATAAATTCATCCCCTCTGAAGCAACACTGTCTAGAAATCTTACTGTTGCCATCCCAGCTTACTTGGATACGGGTAATAAATGTAACCTTGGCAGAATCACATGCAGCCCAAGAACAAAATAAACAGAATCCTAAATCTTTACATGCATATTAATAATGTTGCATCAAGTTCAGTAAATTGAATTAACTTGTGCGGAGTTGAATTTCATCAGAAACCTTTTCTTATCCGGCATACACATTTTCTGTCACCATCACGCTGTAGGGAGGAGGACTCTCCTGGAACTGTGGAGGGGGAATTGGTTGTGCAGATGCATTGCTGTAGACGACAATAACTGGTTGAAAAACAAAACAGCTCAAATTAATAGAATTTGAAAGGTTTAAGCACAGATGAGACAGCCAGTTCATCATACCTCGACCATTTCTCCCACTCTGTTAGAAGCTATTGTCTGCCACTTTCCCCATGGAGCAATAGTGATTGCACTGACCCTCAGTCAGAGCAATTGACCAAACCGCATTTATAGTGCAGTACTCTAGGGGGAGCACTTCTTGCACTTGCAGAAGAGAAAACCCATCCAGTGAATTACTGGAAATAGGAGTTTACACGTCAGTGGAACAACTTGATTATGTTTCTATTAAAATATCATACTCCAATATTCGAACTTTGATTGATTGTGATGGATCTTCTTTTGGAGCAGTACTTGTGGTACAGACGTTTATTTAAGGTAAATGCTTGCAAGTTATTAAATAAAGTAATACTGTTTTATCTAATAATTATTCTTGTAGTAATTTTTTAACAGGTCGCTGAGAAAATAAAATAAAGAAACATGAAAAAAATGGAAATGCCTAAGGAAAAGCCATCCCGCCCAAAAATATAGAGATGGCAGATGAATTGAACAAGTATTTTGTACCATTCTCCACTATGGAAGATGTTATTAAAGGCAATTTACTAACAACGCTGGAAATTTGAAATAAAAACAGATCATCCTGGAGAAACTCAGCAAGTCTGGCAGAATCTGTCAAGAGAGAAACAATTCAATGAAGAATGATGCCAGACCTGAACCAAAGATGAGTCATATTGGACTCAGAAATGTTAATTTGTTTCTATCTCCACAGATGCTGTCCTTATGAGGACGTTTTGAACAGAGTGGGCTTGAATCCACTGGAATTTAGAACGGGAGGTGGTGGAATAAGTGAAACACTTGCCCAGATGAATCCAACTTCAAGAACATTCAAGAGGCTTGACACTATCCAAGACAAAGCAGCCAGCTCGATAGGCACCTCATCCACAAATATCCACTCCTACCATCAATGCTCAGTAGCAGCAGTGTGTACTATCTACAAGATGCACTACAGAAATTCACCAAAGATCCTGAGACAGTACCTTCCAAACCCATGACCACCTCGAGGTAGAAGGACAAGGGCAGCAGGTACATGGAAATACCAACACTTGCAAGTTTTCCTCCAAATCACTCACCATCCCGACTTGAAAATAAATCACTGATCCTTTACTATCACTGTGTCAAAATCCTGTAGTTCCTTTCCTAATGGCATTGTGGGCTTACCTATGGCACATGAAGTACAGCAGTTCAAGAAAGCAGCTCACCACCACCTTCTCAATGACAATTAGGGATGGGCAGCTAATGCCAACCAGCCAGCAACACTCTTGTCCTGTGAATGAATTTAAAAATAACTACAAGTTCCTGAGTAGCCTTGATAGGTAAATGTAGAAAGAATGCTTTGGCTTGTTGGACAATCTAGAACAAGGGGCTACTGTTTCAAAATAAGAGTATGCCTCATTAAGGTGAACATAGAACATAGAACATAGAACATTACAGCGCAGTACAGGCCCTTTGGCCCTCGATGTTGCGCCGACCTGTGAAACCAATCTGAAGCCCATCTAACCTACACTATTCCATTATCATCCATATGTTTATCCAATGACCATTTAAATGCCCTTAAAGTTGGCGAGTCTACTACTGTTGCAGGCAGGGCATTCCACGTCATAAGAAGAATATTTTTCCCCACAAATTGTCATGAATTTATGGAGCATTGTTCCTCAAAAGGTGGTGGAATATTTGTAAGGCAGACACTGATAGATTCTTGTTAAGCAAAGCGGTGAAAAGTCATCAGGGATAGCCAGGAATGTGGACCACTCAAATCAGCCTATCTTTTACTGAATGGTAGAGCAGAATTGTACCCATCTCACTGCAAGTTCCTTGCAACACGGAGCAGATGTCCCGAAACTTGGCCTACAGCCTTCTGGATTCTTGCTGTCACCTGCAATGAACTGTATCTATTCCCCTCACTGTACTATCCTCCAATTCATCTGCATTAATATCTGCATATTAACTCCCACCATTTGGATGTCTTCCTGTGCCATGGCGTAGGCCCCTACTTTTATCCAACAGACAGCAAGAACCTCAACAATTGCAAAGGCCTAGATTCCTCCACTCCAACATTATCAATCCCCCTACGTGCTGCATTTGCAGTATTACCTTCCTGTCTCTGACCACTGTCCAAATCAGAACATCCTATCCGAAGGGATGTGACTGACCCTTGGAACAAAATATCGAGACAACTTTCCTCGCGCCATAACATGTCGCAGTGCTTCCGGCTCAGCTTCTAGCTCATAACCTCTTCATGTCACAGACGTGGTTGCCTTGGATCACATGGGTGCCCAGGAGCTTCCACATCTTGCGGATCTGAGCCAGTTGCTTGAATGAAGAGGGTCTCTGAACTCTCTGGTCTATTTGTTTTAATCCCTAGCCTGAGGGGTCCTTTCCTTTCCTTTCTTTTCTATTTTGTTCAAGAAACACACAATTTATAGACAGTTGTTTATGATTGCATTTTATAAATTGCTATTTTAGAAATAAAACCGGTCTGACTTCAAACCAAAACACAAACAGATTCTAAACAACCCTCACACCTAACATGTATTGTCTGACCTAAAATATCACCTCTTCTTTACACTTATAAAATCTCTAGTTCTCTCAGGACAGTGACTTGAAAAAAATTCAACTTAAACCTTCCAACTGATCATAAATTTTGTGATCAAATCTTTGCATTACATTGGACTTGATCCGAAGTGAAACACATTGGCTGTTTGGTTTATGCTCTGTATGCCTTGCCTTTTCCAGTGACTTCCTTGTAGTGGGAAAGAACACAAGTGGTTTATCTGCTGGCATCCAGTAATTATCATTGATAAATATATGCTTTTCTCTAAAGCTGACATATGAATGTATACAATTAATCAATTAATTATATCAATTTGTTATTTAACTTACTACAGCTGGTGTCTTGCAGCAACAAGTCATAGCTTTACAGTTGAAGCTTGAAATTGCAACAGATATTGCTGCATTAAGTAGTGTCAACAGGAGAAGTATGACGATACATGCTGTACTCTGTAATGTGTTAAAGACAAATAAATTAAGTTGGAGAGAAAGCATTTTGTAGAAAACAAGTTGGAGAGAAAACAAGGGTGGCACGGTGGCTCAGTGCTTAGCACCACTGCCTCATCATGCCAGGGACCTGTGTTCGATTCCACGCTTGAGTGCCTGTCTGTGTGGAGTTTTCACATTTTCCCCGTGCTTGTGGGGTTTCCTCCCACAGTCCAACGATGTGCAGGTTAGGTGGTTTGGCCATGCTGGATTGCCCATAGCGTCCAATGATGTACAGGCGAGCTGGGTTAGCCATGGGAAATGCAGGGTTATTGGGTGGGATACTCTTTGGAGGGCCTTCTTCCACACAGTAGGGATTCTATGATGATTTTTAAAAAGTACTTATAGATGGCTTAATATCAATGAAGTTTAATACTCACCCCAGAATAAGAAATGCTGATAATTGTAAGGTTTAAAACATAAATTATTGTAGCTGGTAAGCAGAAAATGGCACTGATGATGTTCATTGCTAAACAACCTCTGATCTGGAAGTAAAAATGAGTTAAGAGTGTATGAGAAAACAAGGAAGGAGGAAAATATCAATCGGCTCATCAAGCCCATTCTAATTCATTCTGTCTGCAATCTGCCCATTCTATTGAGTAAGTTTGAAAAGATTCAACTTCACACATTAGGGAGGACGTTTGGACCTCAGAAAGAATGTAGCAGAGATTTACTAGAATGGCACTAGGAATGGACAACTTCATTTACATGGATAGCCTGAAGAATCTGAATTTATTTGTCTGATATTTTTAATAGGATGAATTGGTTTGATGCAGTAAAGAAGGATACACTTCCCAGGAGCAGAAGCAGAGGAGTCAGTAAGCAAAGAGCAAAGATTTAAGGTAGTATGGAAAAGAACCAGAGGCAATATAAGGAAATGTTCTATTTCAAATAGTGTTGTCATGACCTAGGTGTCTCAGCTTGAAAGGTATGGAACCAGATTCAATAAGGATATTCCAATGATCTGAAACATTTACAGGCTTTTGGAAAAAGCAGGGAGTGAGATTAATTGGATAGTTCTAGCAATGTGTGAGCATTGACAGAAAAGGCTAAATGGCCTCCTGCAAATAAAAATTGCTGGAAATCACAGCAGGCCAGGCAGCATCCATGGAGAGACAGAAAGCTAATGTTTTGAGTTTAGATGACTCTTCATTAGAGATTCCTGCATCTGCAGTGATTTGCTCCTAAATGGCCTCCTTTCTTGCTGGGTCATTCTAATTCCGGGGGATGACTCTCAACCATGTACCCCTGTAACCAATGCCAATCAAACAGAATTCCACATTATTCCACATTGTACACTCTATACTTCTGTCCAAGTAAATAATCAGTAGAATTTGTGGAGCTTGCAGGACCACACATGATGGTCATTGGGCTGTGCAGAGAATTGGATCTGAATACCCACATCTGACTCCCAGCATCTGGAACGGTGTGCCCCAGTAAATTGGGAATGGGAAAGCCTCAATTCTGGAATACTGCTCATTGTCAGCAGGATGTCAATTAGGCTCACTAATGAGTCACTTGACCACAATTATTCCCTGATTTCACTCGAATTTAATGGAGCCTCTTAGATTTAGATATTTTCAAATCTAACTGTTCAGAGACACTATTACACACTTCTGGAGCAGATGAAAATTTAACCCAGCCACCTGGCTCAGAGTTAGGGAAGCTACCGCGTGATCCCTGGATTTCTTAAGGATGCCTAGGAAACCCTGTCTATTTCATGTGCAAATAGGATGCAGCAGTGAGCTTTGCAGGTAGAATGCACTAAACCAATTCTGTAAGTAATTCCTTTCCAATGCATTGGCCTTTCATTCAACAGATCAAACAGTCTAAAATGCACATATAAAAAATCAGAAATTGCTGAAAAATCTCAGCAAGACTGGCAGTATCGCTGAAGAGAAAACAGAGTTAATACTTCAAGTTCAGTGACCCTTCTTCAGAACTGGGCCAACAATCTAGTTGGATCATATCTTCATTAGGGTAAGGGAAATGACTGCAAGGCAATTTTTGACTCTTATTCCATCAGTGCAGCATCAACAAGTGTACTGATGGCAGGTACAGTACTGAGTTAGATACAGAATAAAGCTTCTTCTATACCGTCTCTATCAAACACTGCCAGCACAGGTAAATCATGGAGTTAGATACAGATTAAAGCTTCCGCTACATGCTCCCCATCAAACACTCCTAGGACAGGTCCAGCACAGGGTTAGCTACAGAGTAAAGCTACACACTGTCACCATCAAACGCTCCTGGGACAGGTAAAATATTTAATTAGATACAGAGTAAAGCTCCCTCTTGACTATCCACATTAATCACTCCCAGGACAGATTTCACACAGGAACAGGTACAGCATAAAACTACCTATAAACTGTCCCCAACAAACACTCCCAGGACAGGTATAGCACTGAGTTAGATAGAGCATAAAACTATCTCCTACACTGATCCCAACAAACACTCCCAGGACAGGTATAGCACAGGGTTAGATACAGGGTAAAGCTACCTTTGCACAGCCCCAACAAACACTCCCAGGGTAGTATAGTTCTGGGTTAGACAGAGAGTAAAACATCACCCACAGTGATACATTGAACACATCCATGTTAGGCAAAAAACCGTTCAGATACATGACCTAATTTGCCACCAGAAATAATTGTACTCATCCTCTACCTGTATGCATTTGTAACCAGATTACAGAGGTGGAAGCCAATCATCTTACTTCTCGCATTTAGATACCATGAGGGAAAGGTGATTTATGTCCACTGTGATGGTCTGCATTTGAACCAAAGAGCAGATGTGGAAGTGGAGCATTTTACTCACTCCACCATATTATCCCTTTAATCAAGTCTGCGATGTTTACTTTCTGAATGCTAAAATAATAGGGATTCAGTGTGACAATAACCAGTGACAAGATTTTGCTGGTTTGTCACCTTGAATGTTGAAACCATTTACAATCCAACCACATCAAAACCATTCTTTGAGCAAGTACTTACCATGCAATGAGTTGGCATCTTTTCAACAACTATAGCAAACGATCCTGCAACAATAAACTTTAAAAATATATTTCATATCAGAGAGCAAATTGCGAAGAATTGCATAACAATTGAACTATGAGATTCTGCCTTTTCTAAATGTCATACTCCACTAGCGAAACACCCTGAAATCAAACCCTGCTGTTCCAGGAGTCATCACAGAAGATAAACACCATGCAGAATTCCCCAATTTACCTGCCTTTTAGACCCAGGTTGACTGAAATCATGGACAAGCTATCTTTGCTCAACAAAACTGTTATTTATATAAATAAATAGTTTCTCAGTGCTGATAAACAATAATGAATAATTGACATATAGTTCTCCTATTAAAAACACTAACTTCCCCTTTTACATTCATATCAACAGATGTAGACAGATGAAAAAAAGTTTCACAGTTGAAAAAAAAGATTGGGAAGGCAGTTCAATGGTGCCTCTCAACAGGGTTTGCTGAGATAATCTTTTGGCTTGTAAAACATGTGCTCCACAATTTTCTTTCTCCATGTATTTTCACTTGATTACAGGAAGCACAGGATGACTGATTTATACTGGGAAGTTAATGTTTTAAATAGAAAAACTATATGCCAATGATACATTATTGTTTATCTGTGGTTACTTGTTTATTCACATGAATAACAATTTCGTCGAGTAAAGTCTCTGACTTACTGGTTAAGAGCCACAGCTTATAGTAACCAATAAGGGGAAATAAATTAGCTTTCACCAGGCATGAGGTTTGTTTTTACTGCCGAGAGAGGACAGCTCCTTTCTTTTCAGAGGTCAATTCAATTCTCATCAAACATTCATACCTACAAACTGTTTAGCTACCTTGCAGCCAATCACATCATTGTTGATAAGCAGAAGGCCTTTGTCATCAATCACTGGTCACCAATGAGTTACTTGTTGCTAGCCAAATCTCCACTCATACTCACCTCTTGGTTCCATCTAATCTGCAACTAGATTTCTGCCTCTGCCTGAACAAACAGCCGTGCAAGCAGCACTTACAATGAGTGTCAGGTAACTTGCTTTTAAGAAATGCAGAAATCCTTTCCACAATCCTTAGCTCGGACAATAATTCTGTTCTCATTTGAGTCCACAATCAAAAATACAGAAAAATAAATGGACGCATTTTTTCATAAGTCTTTCTCTCCTCAAGCTAGAGACTTATGTTAGACATTGGTTCCATATACTCTCTGTCTCAGTTTGTTTTCTTACTAAATCAGCCATTCTTCTTGCTTAACACTGAAGAAAGAGTAAATGAATGAAGTTCAATGAGCCAGTGGAGTGGAGAGCATCACAGCTTCGACTGACACATATTGTAACTTCATCAAGTCACTATTCCCTTTGGACAATAGTGTGGAATCATTAGAAGGATTAGTAATCAGCAATGCAGCAACTCACCTAGGTTCTTTTGACACTTCCAACACTCCTCCCTCTTACAATTTACAAGGACAAGGCAATAGCCGAATAGAAACTAACCCCACCAGATTGTCCTTTAGGTCACATACCATCAAGATTTCGGACTGCACTGTCAGTGCCTCGTGGTCACTGGTTCATTCTTCCCAACAGCACTACAGATTTTCCTATGCAACATGGACTTGAGCAGTTCAAAATGGCGGCTCACCACCAGCATCTCCAAGGCAATCGAAGATAGGCAATACAATCTGGCATTGCCAACAATACCACAATCCATTAACGAACTAAAAAAGAAAGGAACCCAGAAAAATCTTAGCTTCTCTTCTGCAGGGAGCTGCAAACAGTCATAAACACTGCATTATAGCCCCTCCTGAATTCAGGTAACTTGTTACAGTCATAGGATAGAGTTTTATGGAAAATCGTTTTCAGACATGTAACCAATGGACATTGTGTCTATTTTTAAAATACATTTGATGAGCTACAGGCACCTGAGTTTGCCTCACCAAATTCTATTTCAAGGAGCTTTGGAGAACTTTAGTAAGGCTGCACTTGGAATATTGCGTACAGCTCTGGTCACCACACTACGAGAAGGATGTGGATGCTTTGGAGAGGGTACAGAAAAGGTTTACCAGGATGTCGCCTGGTATGGGGGATTTTAGCTAAGAAGAAAGTTTGGATAGACTGGGTTGCTTTGCTGGAACGCAGGAGGTTGAGGGGTGACCTGATACAAGTTTATAAGATTATGAATGGCATGGACAGAGTGGAAGGTATGAGGCTTTTTCCCAGGGTAGAGGGGTCAATTACTCGGGGACATAGGTTCAAGGTGCAGGGGGGAGGGGAAGTTTAAAAGAGACGTGTGAGGAAAGTTTTTCACACAAAAGGTGGTGAGTGCCAGGAACGTGCTGCCAGAGGAGGCAGTGGAAGCAGGCACAATGCCAGCATTCAAGAAACACCTGGACAAATAAATGAATAGGAAGGGAGAAGAGGGATACAGATCCTGTAAGTGAAAACAGTTTTAGTGTGCAAGGACAAAAATGTGTTGGCGCAGGCTTGGAGGGCCAAAGGGCCTGTTCCTGTGTTGTATTGTTCTTTGTTCTTTGAGGTTGCTGCGCAGGTAGAGGTACTCGGATAAACCTTGGGTGCTGTGAAATTTTCTGGCAGTGTGGTGTATTACATCTCACCAGCGTAGCACACTAGAAAATCAAGCCCTGCTATTCGTGGCTTTGTCACAAAATTTGAAGATTTCTAAAAGTACACAAAATTCTGCAATTGGTGTGTCTTTTACATCCAGGTTGACAAACCAGGTGTCTGAACTTAGCAAGAGTTACTATTTATTACAAATAATAGTCTCTAACTACAGATAAAAAGCCATGAACAATCAACGTATGACTCTACTAGTTAAAACTCTAACCCTGTTATAAAAACTCCCCTCTACACACACATACAGACAGACACAAAAACGTTGGTGTTAGCCTGGAAGGAAAGACTGGGAAGGCAGTTCGATGGTTCCCGTCTATTAGTGTGAGGCTGGAAAAGCACATCAATTCAGACAATATCAGAGGAACAGGAAAGTCAACATTTCAGCCTGCTGTGCTTTTCCAGCCTCACACCTATCGAAACTGGCTTCCAGCATCTGCAGTCCTTATTGTCTCCAGTGATTCCTGTCCACAGGTTTCTCTGAGATGATCTTTTTGTTTTTTTGGAGGAGAAGGTACAGAGTGATTTTGTTCACACTCGTACGGTTTTTGACATTGGTTAGAAGGCACAGCTTACAGCAACTGATTTGGGAGAATAAACTGCCTTTCATCAGGCTTGAGATATTTTTCACTGCAGGAAAAGGACAGATCCTTCTTTTCCAGATGTTCAATGACTTCTGGTCAAACATTTACACTCAAAAAAAAGAACAGTGGATGCTGGAGATCTGAAGCAAAAACATGAAGCACTGGAAAAATTCAGCAGGTCTGGAAGCATGCTGCCAGACATGCTGAGTTTCTTAAACATTTTCTGTCCTTGTTTCATATCCACAAGCTGTCCAGCTACCTGGGAGCCAATCACATCATTGTTGGCAGGCAGAAGGCCTTTGGCATCAACAACTGGTCAGTATGTCACAGACCAATCAGTTACTTGTTGTAAGCTGAAATTCCATTCACACACAGCCTTGGCTCCAGCTTGTCTGCAACGCAGCATTACCACTAATGCTGGATCAAGCAGCTGTGTAAACAGCACTTACAATGAGCGTCTGTTAGTTTGCTTTTAAAAAGTACAGTGATCCTTCCCCACAATCCTTAGTACAATAATAGTCCTTTCTTCATTTGAGTCCACCATCAAAAATAAAGACAAAAAATGTTAAAAGACCGGAGTAGGTAGCGTGCAACAATTGTCCTCTGGAATGCTCTTGGAGCCAGTGGGAACACTGCAGCTTCTACTGACTCTATACTCACATTCTTATTGGCATTCTATTTGAGAGGATGCTTCTACAACAGGCCCAACTGAGAGGAAGAGACTCCTCAAGTAAACCCTAATAGGCTAATGGCAGGATCTGAACTATCTCATCGGCATAAATGAGAATTCATATGACTATGAATGCACACAGCATTCTAAGTGGAGTATGTACTAATGCATGGTTGTTATCAGATATACCTAAAGAATTGGTAGCTATAATTTTGATGTAGAACAATAGAAATGGTACAGCACAGAAATAAGCCATTCAGCCTGCCATAGTGTGTATTGCTGATTAGAGTAGCTACTCATTTTAATTCCATTTATCAGTTCTTGGTCCAGAGTCATACAGGTTACAGCACCTCAGATGTAGATGCAGGTTCCTATTAAATGACTTGAGTGTTTCTGCCTCAACGACCAAGCTGGGCAGAAAATTCCAGACATCCACAACCCGCTAGATGAAAAGGTTTTTACTTTTGTCCTCATTTACATTATTGTACTCACCGTTAGTACTCACTAGAGCTCCAGTCCACCAGGGTATGCCAACTATTAGGGAAAAGATGACAGAGAGAAATTGACGTGGTGCAATGCTGAATGGTACAATTCCAATGATTATGACAATTATACCCGTCACAATCTCTGTTATCTGTAAGAAGCAGAAAATTGTATTAAATTGAGAAAGAGTTTCAGTTTGCTTCTGTGATGTAAAGATTACACTGAAGATCAACAGCCTTTCCATGGCAAAGGTCTAATTTTTACCTCAATTGATTTCTACCCTGTGTGATGAACCCAATAAATATTATCTTGAATTCTTGAATTTGAACTGGCATTTTTCTTTAGAATTGTTTTTGTAGATAATGGGAGGAACAATCAAAACAGAAGAATTCAATTGAATCTGCTCCTTATTTTAAAATTATTAGTATAATGTCAATATAGTGGCACACCCAGAATTACATCGGAATATGTGGGTGGAGCATACCTTTTGAAAGAAAGATATTTGGTTTATTTTTTGATACTGTGACATAGGATTATTTGGGTGGTATATATAAATCGCGCTACCATGACTCTAATGAAAAGATTATGTCGATAGTCAAGACCCACTATTTCATGAATCATCACAAATGCATAAGTAACCAATTCAATCACTAAGGTGGTTAATTTACCTGACTTTGACCGCTATCTAAGATAAAAGAAACTTACATTAGGTTTCATCTACAAACAAAAAAAACACAATTATTGCAAACCATCTTATCTTTAACAAGTGGAAAAATGAATTATTAGTTACCCATTTGCAAACTTAGAACATACACACTTTAAATCCCAATATATACACATTTATTCACAAATTGGATGGAAACCCCAGAAATACAAAGTGGATCTGTGGATCAAGAGTTCAAACAACAAGATTGAAATTAGATGATTGTCTCAGGTGTCATGTTTCTGGAAATATTTACACATTACAGCCAACTTCAGCAAAGCTAAATTTGATAGTCGGTCAGTTGGACCTAGGTTTTTGTTTATGTTAGATGTTCTTATATCTGGAGTTTTTAACCACTCGCTGTATCTCTCAAAAGAGACTTAACTTTGCTTGCAGGCCTTCTGGAGAAACTTTTCTCTTCTTTGTTCTGTGACAAACTGGAGCTTATTTATAAAAGGTTTTGCTAAACAGTATTTTTTTAAATCCAAAGACACTTGGTGCCATTGTGTGTCACACAAGTATAAAATCCAGCTTAACCAAAAGTTATAGATCTTTGTGTAACCAATAACTGAATGTTACACAATTTTTTTTTGAGTTGTTAAAAACTAAACAGGTTTGTTTGCTTTGAAACCAAAGTGACCAAACTTCTTTGCTTTCAGTTTATGTTTCTAAAGATTATATTTGTAGAAATAACAATATATTCATCCAGAACCCATTGGATTCCTCATCATATTATTGCAAGGAAATGTGTGATATTCTTCAGCATTTCCCTGGTAATGCTTAATCTAAGGTAATAAAGATGAATTTTAATACAGAAGTGTGGAACTAAACAGCAACTGAAGAATACCACTCTGCTCAGCATTCATGTACAAGCTCTATAAAATTGTTATCCAATTATTCCAATCACCCAGTTATTCCACTCTACTTTCCCTCATAACCATGCATGTTTTGTCAAGTACATTTGATAATGCCCTTTGAAAGCAACTACCTCCACTATCTTTGAAGTAGCAGATTTGAAATGGTAACAACTCAAAACGTAAAAGCAGTGTATCAGAAGTGAAAAAAGTTGAAACAAAAGATGTGGATGCTGACCATCTGATATTAAAACAGAGAATGCTAGAAATGCATATTAGGTATGGCAACATCTTGGGAAAGAGATATGTTAAATTTTTTGGAGGAGTTAAGAAATTCCTTCCCCCAGAGATCCCCACCCAGGCAGTGGTATTCGAGGGTGGTATTTTGCAGAAATTAGAGGTGCAGAAGTTTTTTTCTGGTGTCAATCCTTCTAGCCTTTGTTGTTGGTGGACCTTCCATGTGCCAGGGTTTAATGAGCAGGTACCAGGGTTTAATACAACTAAACAGCTTTCTCAACCATTTGAGGAAGCGGTTAAAACTCAACCACATTGCAATGGGTTTGGAGTTACATGTAGGCCACCAGGTAAGATTGAAAGATTTCCTTTCCTAAAGGATATTAATGAACCAATTGACTTTAATGATCTTAAAATTAATTTTATGAAACCATTATTGATTCCAGATATATCTAATTGAATTTTATTTCCCCAATGAACATTGTTGAATTTAATTCCCTGTTTCTAGATCATTAGTACAAGCGTCTGAATTGCTTGTCTTCTGTCACAGTTAATACACCACTATTAGGTGCTCTCCTTCAGTTGTGCCAAAGCAACACCACACAATCCATGTCAATACCATTTTAAATTGTTACTTTACATTTCTCTAAGCTGTTTTCAGCTAAAATATAAACAATATTTCCCACTTTGTAAAGTGCACTTACGCCCAGGGCTTTGAGCTTTCCTTTGAGCATCTGCTGCACACGAGAATTATTTTGAGCATGCACTGTAGTTGTGATTTGGTTCAGTTGACCATTATCCACAAATTGAACCAGTTGAGAGCCATTGGGCAGTGGCTGTGAAGGTGGAAGCTGGTTTAGTGCAAGACCATTCTCAACATTCTTTAGCAAGTCAGTCCTTTTCACAACAATTGTCTGAAAGATATAGTGTAACAAATGATTTTTATTTTGGAGAAGTGAGGTCTAGGAAAATCCTCTGTCTGTCTCAGAATTGCAGTGGTGGACATGGTTATGAGCTTTGGGTGTCAACAGAAAATGAATCGAAGCAAAATTTTGTATCAGTGTGAGCAAGTTAGAACCTGAAAGAGGTTATTAGTGGAATTAGGATAATTCAGCAATTTCCTCAATGATCATCACTGCACAATAGCCTAGTGGTATTATCGCTGCACTATTAATCCAGAGACCAAGATAACATTCTGCATTAGAATCCCACCACAGAAGATGGTGGAATTTGAATTCAATTAAAAATATCTGGAATTAAGAATCCAATGATAACCATGAAGCCATTGTCAGAAAAACCAACCTGGTTAACTAATGTCCTTTAGGGAAGGAAACTGTCATCCGTACCTGTCTAGCCTACATGTGACTCCAGGCACACAGCAATGTGGTTGACTCTCAACTGCTCGCTGGGCAATTAGGGATGGGCAATAAATGCTGCCTGAAAAAGCGATGCCCTCACCCCATGAATGAATAAAGAAAAAAAACAATTAAAGCATTGACTTATTAGACATCACTATTTAAATTGGCATAAGAAAATTGTCTTGAATTAGCAGCAAAAGATTTTTTTGAAAGTAATTGATACACACTTTTAACACAAAATACCACTGTTCCTAAATATGCCTTCCACAGACTGGTGAAGTCATAGCTCATGTTTTTACATTGCAAGTGCACAAATCTGGCATATTTTAACAAGACATTTACCACAGTTTCTACTGTAACCGAGATTTAAAATGGGCAGTTGTCACAATATTCATTATAATAGCATGCACAGCATTTTCCCCAGATAGCAGCGACTAAACGTATCCAGCTTTAAGCTGCAGTTCCACATTCATCTCCAAGAAATTGATTGTCTCAATGGTTCCAAGTTTTACTGACTCCCAGTTAGCTGAATGTTCCTCTTGTTCATGGGTTTAAAACTGTTCATTCCTTTAGCGCCCATTCTTGAATTTTCCTGGGCCCTAGTTTGCAGTCTTGCAGGGTTACTGAGCATCGGCATCTTTTGTTATCCTTTATTGAAGCCGTGTCTGTGCAGCAGGAAGCTCTGTCAACGTTGGAGTACTTCATCCAGAATACATCCTGACTGTCAGAACCATTAGCTGTGGGGGCATGAGGTCCCGCACCAGGACAATGAGATGTCAATCATTGCAACTTTAACCCAAGGAAGATGCTTGTTTGAGAGCATTTTGAGGTCATTGAGACAAGCTGTGCTTCTCCCCTTGTGAAGACATGGGCCTTAGTGATTAGCAGATATGTACCAACCAGGCCTGGCTACACCCACAATGCTGGTTGGAAGGGTATCTCAGGACTTTGACACAGTGACCCTAAATGATATAGTTCCAAGTTTGGATAGTGTGTGGCTTGGAGAAGTTGCAGATGATGGTGTTGCCATGCATCTGCTGCCCCTATCTTTCTATGTGGTAAAAGCCATTAGCTGGAAGATGCTGTCAGAGGAGATTTGACTCCTGCTTTTCATCTTATAAATGGTACAAAGTACAGCCATTATTCATTGGGGATGAAGGGAAAGAATTTTGAAGACTATGAATGGGATGTTAATCAGGTGGGCTGCTTTGTCCTGAATGGTGTTAAGCTCCTTGCTGTTGTTGCAGTTGTACCCATCTGGATAAGGTGACAGTATTTTTATCAGACCCCGGACTTTTGCCTTTTGGGTGGTAGACAGGGATTGGGGATCAAGGAGATGAATAATTCACCACAGAATTCTGGACCTCTTACCTGCTCTCGTAGTGACAGGATTTCCATGTCTGGTGTAGTTCAGCTTCTTGTTAATGGTCACTGGCAGGAATTTCAGAGTGAGAGATTCAGAGATGGTATTGGCATTGAATATCAAGAGGAGATGGTTAGTCTCTTGTGGAGATACTCATTGCCTGGTACTTGAATATAACAAATTTTAATTGCCATATATTAGCTCAGGCCTGTATTTTGTCTAGATTTTGTGTATGAACAAAAACTGTTTTAATATCTGAGAAGTCACAAATCATTCTGAGCATTGTGCAGTTAGAGGGAAATATTCCCACCTCAGGGTTAATGATGGATGACCTTACGAACCAGATGAAGATAGTTGGGCCGAGGGCACTACCCCAAGGAGCTCCTGCGGTGATGTCCTGGGATTGAGATGGTTGACTTCCAGCAACGACCACCATCTTTCATTTTGTAGGTTAGAGCCAAACCAGTGGAGAGCTTTTCCCCACCTCCCACTGACTCCAGTTTTACTAAAGCTGCTTGAAATTATTTTCTGTCAAATGTAGCCTGGATATCAAAGGTATTCATTCCTCACTTCTGGAACTCAGGTCTTTTGTCTAAGTTTGTATCAAGGCTGTAATAAAGTCAGGAGCTGTGTGACTCGCACAACACAAGTGGGCGACAGTGAGCAGGTTATTGCTAAGAAAGTGCTGCTTGATAACATTGTTGATTACATTTTCCATGATTTAACTAATGATCAAGAATAGACAGATGAGTGATAATTGCTGGATTGGATTTGTTTTGAGTTGTGCACACAGGACATACCTGGGTAATTTTCCAGATTGCAGGTAGATGCCAGTGTTGTTGCTATACTGGAACAGCTTGGCTAAGGGCAAGGCCTTCTGGAGCACAAGTCTTCAGAATTTTGCTGGAATATTATCACAGCCTATAAACTTTGCACTCTCCAGTAGCTTCAATCATTTCTTGACATCACGTAGTTTGAATTTAATTGCATGAAAACTAGCATCTGTGATGCTAGGGACCTCTGAATGAGACCAAAATGGATTATCCAACAGAAATAACACAATGTGGAGCTGGAGGAGCACAGCAGGCCAGGCAGTATCAGAGAAACAGTTATGTTGATGCTTTGGGTCGGGAACCTTCTTCAGAAATGGTGTGGACCCTGCGAAGAATGAAAAACAGAAGAGGTCCTTTGCAGGTCTGGGAGAGGGAAGCTCTGAGCTGGGGTAGGCTTGACTGTAGTGCTAGAAGATACTGGTGCATTGCTGAGAGTGTGTGCTTGAGGATCCGCAAAGAAAACCGTTTTTGGAGGATCTGGATGTTTTGTATGTAGAGATTGTCGCAGTCAGGGCCAAATTGGGATGGCCTGATTGTAAGTTGGAGTCCATTGGGGATGATCTGGTTGCATAGGCAGGTACTGAGAAAGGCAATGTGGCTGTAGAACCTGGTTTGCTTCTGTATGTGGTTGGGCAGTTTCAGGCCTGAAGGGATTACCAGAGGGTTGCAGTCGGAGAGAGACCCACCGAGGTCTTTCTGGAGGGAGGAGGATAACTCCTTCAAGGTAGGCATCGCTAGAAGAGGCTTTGCAGTAGAGTTATAACTCACTCAGAGATAGTAAGATCTGCAGATGCTGGAGCCAGAGATAACACAGTTTGGAGCTGGAGGAACAAAGCAGGCCAGGCAGCATCAGAGGAGCAGGAAAGTTGACGTTTCAGGTTGGGACCCTCCAACAGAATATCTGGATGTAAATAGATACAAATGTTTCAGCCTTGTCTGTTGTATTGGTGTGCTGGGATTCCCCATCATTGAGGATGAAGATATTTTGGAGTGACCTCCTCCTATTTGCTGTTTAGTTGTTCACCAGCAGTCATGATTGGATGTGAAAGGACTTATGAGCTTAGATCTAATCTGTTGGTTGTGGGACCACTACACCCTGACTACCTCTTGCTGCCTTCATTGCTTAGAATGCAAGGAAGCCTGTGTTATAGCTTCACCAGACTGACACCTAAGTTATAGATATGAATCTGGTGCTGCTTCAGGGAAGCACTTATGCATACTTCACTGATCCAGGAATGCTCTTAACAAACCTTCCATTTCAGACAGGGGTTCACCTGCTCATCCGTCAACTTGGGCTACTTCTGCGCTCTGTATGAGAAAATGACAACACCTTCTGGTCACCAACCATTTTAACTGCCCCTCCCACTCCCTGGGTAAAATGTCCATCCTGGGCCTCCTCCAGTGTCACAATGACACCATCTGCAAACTGGAGGAGCAACACCTCATATTTCACCTCGAGAGCCTGCAGCCTGATGAATTAAACATGGAATTCACCTGCTTTAAAATCTCCCCACCCCTGACCTCATCCCACGTCTAACCTTCCCTCTTATTCCCGTCACCTTGAACTGACACAACCTGTCCATCTTCTCTCCCACCTATCTGCCCCACCCATCCGACTGACCAATCCCGGCCACTCCCTACCTGCACTCACCTATCACCATCCCACCTACATTCCCCAGACCCACCCCTCCTCTCTCTATTTATTTCCCAGCTCCCTTCCCCCTCCCCATTTCTGAAGAAGGGTCCTGATCCGAAAAGTCAACTTTCCTGCTTCTCTAATGCTGCCTGGCCTGCTGTGTTCCTCCAGCTCCACACTGTGTCAAAGCAAATTGATTTGCTTCTGTCAGCAATACAGGAATCTGAATGAAAAATGAGAGCTCCCATCTGATGGGAAAGCTCCATACCTTAAATTTAATGCAAACTGTTCCAAATAAAATCAGTAGTTGTTTGATAATTTGTCAAAATTAAATGACAATTTAATTCGTTGTGATTTAATACATTAATGTGAAGGATTCATTTCATAGTATCTCTACAATGTGGAAGCAGGCCTATCGAGTCCACACTGACCTTCCAAAGAGCATCCCACTCAGACCTACATCCCCCTAACCTATCCCTGTAATTCCTATGACTAAACCACCTAGCCTGCACATCCCTTGTAGGTATGGGCAATTTTAGCATAGCCTATCCACCTAACCTGCACATCTTTGGACTGTGGGAAGAAACCAGAGCACCTGAAGGAAACCCCTACAGATACAAGAATGTGCAAACTCCACACTGACAGTCACCCGAGGGTGGAAACAAACCCAGGTCCCTGGTGCTGTGAGGCAGCAGAGCCAACCACTGAGACACCATGCTGACCCACATGATACCCAAGTACTAATTAATTATTATAAATCAAGGGAAAATCTACATAGTTGCAGAGATAGTAGGAACTGCC